GTGTGGGAGATTTTATATCCTAAATTTGGGATTATAAAGAAAATAGTTGTATTAATATATACCTTTTAAAAATAATCAATATCTTATCTTAAAAACTTTTAAATTTTACATTAAATTCGATGACAACTTGCCAAATCGTTATTTTAATATTAATACAATTTTAGTGAACATATTTTAAAATTTTTTTAGTGTCCTCATGTCATCTCATTATTTCACAATGTAGTTTTCTATATCGGATACGATGATTCTGATGTAATTCAGACGCTGAAATTACACATGTCGATGTGTTATTTAATACTCATTGTCTTTGTCCATTTAACAGCAAATGGAATTTACTTTAGGACCCATGGGCCGTAAAATTTTTCTAGCAACACATATTGTTTTCACATGAAATTTTGACACACCCAAAATTTAAGTATAAAATAAATAGATAAAAATAAATTTTCAATCCAACTGATTTGTGTAGTCCTGGGGCGTCTTTAGTAAATGTTTGGAGGCTGTTTTAATATATCCTATCTTATTATATATTTTTTAGCTTTACTACATTCTGAGAAGTTGAGAGAATGAAGTCTAATATTCTTTTTTGGTCAACTATGATGTTTGATTTCATTTTTTGCAATCATTAGTTCATTTTGTTTGAGGAGTCACAATGCGCATACCGGCTGTACCGATTTTTTTTGAAATTTCGTACACAAATTTTCCAAGAATGGTTGTAGGCTAAAACAAAACCGATATCTAAAGGGCGTGTGGAACCTCGCACACAAATCGAATTCTTCATAGTGCATATCTCTGGAAGTATTTGTGATAGAGTCCTGGAACTTTGTATGGATATATGTATGGATTTATTGGAAAATGCGGCGTGCCACCGAAGAACTTGGAATAGAGGTAACTGCAATCAATCCAGAACCTATGAAAAATGGGGGTATATGAAAACGATCTCGTAGCCATTGAAAAGAGTTAGCGGTATAAACCAAATATGTAAACTAAAATTCTTGTGACGCATAGATATCTCTGGAAACATTTACCTAGAATACTGAGATGAGGTATTTTTCCAACGGAAATATGTACAGAAAAACGGGCGCGACACCTTCTGGAAAGTAACATGATCACAGGATGTATCCCGAGAACCATTTTAAGCCAAACCTTCAGGGATTACATTCTTGCCAAGACCCATAGGCATAAGCTGAAATTTCGTCGCAAGTTTTATCATCGGCTTGGGTAAGGTTTAACCACTTAACCCCCTTTGTTTTCGTCGCTAGTGAATTCCATAAACTGTCAGCTTTCACACAATTAAAATGTACATGTAAGAACAAAATATTTTTAAATCGACAAAAAATTTATAAGAAAATTTGAAGGATTTTAGATATTGGGTATGGTAGCACGAAATGTCACAATCTGCTTAATTGTCAGGTTGTTAATATGGCGACGAAAAAGTGACAATGGAACTACCTTGTTTTTTTGTATCATGAGTATATGTAGGGTATTTTACTTGTATGTTTTTATACTTGTTTAAATTCTTGATTTTCAATTTATGATTCAATGAATTTGTTTGTTATCAAAAAGAAAATTGATGCAGAAATTTTGAGCAAAAATTGTATTTGGAGCACTTCTGCATCCAAAAGGAAATAAAAAAAATTGCCGATTACGTTATTTTGGCGTATGTGTATTTATGTACACATCGCACATTTGTTGCAAGTGTCATTGACCTATTGGGGTTTTTGGGGAACCTATAAAAATAGTTAATATTAAAAAATGCTTAAATAAATAATTTGGTATTGTTATTGGAGGTCTCCTAAAGAGAAACAGAGCTTCCGAAAAAGATTCTGCCTTATCCTGAGTTTCACCTGAAAAAAAATTCACCCGGAAAATTTGTCATCCGCCCATAGTAAAACCATGGAACCCAAGTGTGAAAAGTAAACCGGTTCTGGGAAAATTAAACTCATGATAAGCATATTGATTTTCAAAAATTCTATACCATTTTTACAAAGTGAAGAAAAAAATGTGGGTATTTTCCAATTTGGAAAAATCCTAGAGGTGAAAGCTTAATATAAATATTTTACATATTTTTCCCCCGCAGACCACCCAATTGTGCAATTAACAGTATTGCCTAGTAAAATAGAATGGAAATTTATTTAACGCAGTTACTTTAGGTTGCAAAAAATAAAAAAATACGAAATCTAGATAAAGGAGTGTCAAATTTTAGCTGTCACAAATTACACAACCTTGTATTATTGAGTCATGATTTATAAGTATGAACAAAATAAAATGCGAAAACGCATCAACTATAATATCAGCGAATGTATTTTGGTTTTCTCGCATTTTAACATAAAAATTAAATATGAGACTTAGAAATAGGGTGTAAGAAATTGTTAGTCGCCTTTCAAACGTTTAGTAAACTCTACTTGTTGCATTTCCTTCCATTCTTTCTTTGGTTTCATTCGTTTGAGCTGCCCATCCCAAACTAGATCTACTAGTCCGCCCTGTTTTGCTATGACACTTTTGACACGATTGGCAAAATCTATAGCTGATTCGCCCTCTTGTCGGTACATAGGTGGCAAGTACCAAACATCACATACAATAGCCCATGAAGTCATCATCATATATAAATATTGCATCATCGAATATTTTGAGCTATTCCAGAATGCATCTCCGAAACGAGGGTCGTATCTAAAATTAATCAAATTAAAGTAAATTCCAGATCAACATTTTTAAAAAGACAAGCAAAAAGTGCATATAAAACATGAATAAAGTTACGCCTTCAATGATTTATTTGATTAAAAAAAGGAGTACGTACTTGATAGCCACCGGATAAATAACCCCTCCTACTTCGAAGCTGCCTTTTTTAAATTGCATAACGGATGTGTTGTTAATGCAGGTACCCTCGGGGAATATCAGTATGGGAGGATTATTTGGATTTGATACGTGCTGTTTAAGGCGTTCGGCCACTGCGTGTCGATCCTTTGCCTCTCCCCTTTCAAACCAAATATGAGGTGATGCTCGAGCTAAAGCGCGTTGTAATAAACCCAAAAATCCACCATGCCGTTGGCCAATCTTCAAAATACATTATAATTTAAATACACATTTTCCAAGATATAAAATATAAGTATTTAATGTGGTGAATCAAAAATGTTACATATCGTTACCTTAGTATAGAAAGGCCCTAATCATTTTTATTTGAAAACCAGAACTGTTGAAAGTTCTGCCTGCGGGATTTTAAAAATAACTAGTACAGCATACTATTAATTACATTCTTCAACAAAACCCAGCATTTGAAAGAAATTCGCAGCAAAAGGACTTTATTTTCTATGGAGTTTTCCCCTCACCCCATAAAGAAAAAAATGTTAGATAGTGCCTTTCTATATTAAGGTAACCATGTAGATATATGTATGTAGTATGTCTGTCGCCGTCGAAATATTGAGTTATGAAAACCAAATAAGCTGATGTTTAATCTTCTTTGGTAACATAAAAAACCTATGTATGCCCATACATAAGTACATAAACATATATGATCAAAATAATAGAACCACACATCCAGTTTATGCATAAAAAGTGAGTCGATTTAATACAAAAATAATGATATTTAGTTATTGCGCCAACTTAATAATATAAACATCTAACAAACTTAGACGAAATACTTTATATTAAACTTTAATCTGCTCTTAAAAAAACTTGCATTGTTGACCCTCATGCGTCATGCGTTTTCGACGCATATGGGATACCCAGTATTTTCAGTAGATAGAGTGAAATCATGCACGTTGAAAACTAACAAAAAAGTTTTTTTTTTTACTTTCTACCAGTCTCAAACAAGATTACTTTCTGTACACTTAGAACTTTATGATACAGTACAAAATTACTTAAAAGTTAAGTTGTACCGTTGTTTTTAAATTCCCACTTGTGTATCTATTAGGGTACACCTCCACAACAAGTTTTTTATCCGTTTAGCGATTTTCAGGCTGATACTCCTATTTTTATCATGGGAAATGCGTTGTTTCCACATAAATTCGGACGCATATCTAGGTATGTACTTTGTTTAAAAGCTTTTTTAATAAAGATGGGCTTCTGCAATGACAATATAGTAACATAAACATTTCATTCCGACACACTCACAAAGCAAGCATACATGCATACATACCACGATTACTTCAATAACTGCAGTGGTAAAATATTTTTGAAATTTATGGCAATAATAAGTTGCTTCAAATTTAAATTAATAAAAACCAAATATTTTTAAATTAGGGGTGTGTTCGAGCTACGTAATAGTTGCCGCAATATCGCTTTCTTGATGATATGCTACTGATGATCAACTGAAATTTTGCAGAAATTTATGTAGGTCGTAACACCGACCTTATCTGCTAGTGATGAATAACGAATTGACAAAATTTTGCGTGATGTAGGCAGAGTAGCGTGATACTCTTTCATAAAAAACAAAATTGCCGCATTTATTTAAGCGCTAATTAATTAAATAGTTTCGAAAATAATGTGTCACTATTTCTTGTATAACGGCAACTGTGTACATCTGACTACCAACAGTTTAACTTTAATTAGTTAAGCTCTAATATACCCCTTTTTTTAATAGAAAACATGCATACACGTTAAAATACTAGGTAATCTTGTATGTATTATGCAGTAAAAATTAGCGGCGTTCGATAACACAAAAATGTGAAATAGTTATTCCCAATTTTTGCAAATAACTCCAAACAAATTATCCATCGCGCACTTTTATTTCGGTGCAAGAGAAATGTTTATTTTGTACTATTATATTGTATTTGTGTATATTGCCAGTTCCAACTGGAAATACTACAAGAAAAGCAACAAATTTTCTCGGAAAGAAAGGTGGCTCGGCTGAAGTTGAAGAAGTACATTTGCCGACAAAAAGCCTGCAACCACATTGCGAAACGACTAGTACCGAACAGAGAAGATAGTACGTTGAAATGTATAGGTTCATACGAGATCGCTGCGAACTCGCCAATACGCGGATATCGGCGTACACCTAACCGTCTACTTCTAAGCTTAAAAAAAACGCAAAGCAAATATTCTGATGCTAAATGAATTCAGAACAACCAAACTTTAAGCAAAGTGTTTTAGCGTCAACCTGATGTCCAAATCGCTCCACAGGTACCAATTTTGCCTAAAATGCGGTATCTGTTGGAATCAAGACGTCAATGCTGGGAAAAACATACTCTACCTGGGAGAATGTATCATCAAGCAAAACGAAAAACACGAGAATTTTCGAAAATAAGGTGTCACTATTTCTTGTATAACGGCAACTGTGTACATCTGACTGCCAACAGTTTAACTTTAATTAGTTTAAGTGTACTATCTTTTGGAGGCCCGAATCGCGGCATTCGAACGTAACTTCGAAATTTGATTTTGAGACTACGGCATTCGATAGCGAGTGTGCTTCGCCCGTTTAAATTGTATTGTGGAGAAAAAAGCTGACATTTTGTTTCACTCGATTCGAAATGAGTAATTACTCGATCACGAATACCGCCATTCGGGCCCTAATAAAAAAGTTATAACTTACCAATGAATATGTTTTGTCACACATAAGTACTAATACATCGATTGGGCTGGTATGGTTTGCAACACAAATCCCATTTGTGGGTCGATTCTCCACATTATGATAATAAATGACAGCGGAAATGGCGCTGGAGAGCACTGAAAAGCAATGACCAAGCACTTGGTCTACCATTCTCCGTTTATGTTCACCATCTTTAATATATCCAACTATCGCCGTACAAAGAGTCAACCAAACTACCTGATGAATCGCACAGAACACAAAAGCCATTTACATTAAAACATGCACAAGCCGTAAACGAACCAGATTTACATATACCGTGTATAGACAAAAACGCTTATTTATATGGAATGTATATATGTATATGGATATGTATGTATGTATGTAAGAAGTTATGACGAAATATGTTTGCTTAAACCATAAAACCTAGCTAGGAAAAGGGGTTTTCTCACCAAAGAGAAAGTACAGTCGGTTGAAAGAATAGCGACGTCCAAGGGAGAAGTGTGGTTTGCCACACAGAAACCAGAACCTTTTGGTTTAAATTCTGTGTTGTGGAATGTAATAACTGCCGACAGAGATCGAGTCATAACGCGAAAAGTTATTTTAAAAGCTAAATCTGCGCAAGGATGGCGAAGAAATTCGAAGGGAATCAGCGCAGCTAAGCTGTTAGCAATGACTGCAACAGAGACCTATGAATATAGGACATTTTTTCGTTAAAGTTTATATAACAAATGTTGAAAAAATAAATAAAGCTGTGTAAAATAATGTTTATCAAAAAATTAGCCGCGAACATGAAAATAGCAGTACAGTTGTAACTCATTAAACGCGAAGGCAAAAGAGGAAATTTAGAGGAACCAAATTCTGGAGGATACTAAAAGAGAGGATATGTACAAAAATCCATAATAAAAAGTTTCGACCTCTATCAAGGAGTGTCTGTACGACCTGAAACATATAGGTAACACTCCTGAATCTTTGTTATGTAATATTTTTTTTTTTTAATTTCATACCTTTCACTTAAATTTATTTGAACAAATCGAGTATCGAGTGATTAATTTAAGTAAATTGCATATTTTTAAATCGTTTTATAAGGGACGAAAAAAAAAGTTTAAAAAGTCGAAATTTTGAAAAGGTTTTTCTATTAGAGACATAACTAGTATAGAAGAAAAGAATAAAAGTCAATCAATAATCATTATATTAAAATAAGTATTTTTCGAGTCATTCATAATTATTATTCAAGGACTTATATTATAAAAGTCCTTTCATAATAAATATCCGGGAAAAATATTTTTCAGTCTTCAAAGACTTTTTTATAAGACTTATGTATATTATAAAAGTTTTTTCATAATAATTACACTGGTTTACAGCAAAAAATTTCTATGGATACCACTATCCAATACCTATGTAGAATTGCTCGGCACTTTTCGATAGGGCGTATAGTTTCTGAAAAATTAATTAATCATTTCAGTTTTTGTTATTTTTTAGTGAAAAATTTAAAAAAAAAATCAAACTTTAACAGAAGAAAAATAAAAAAAATAACAGGTTGTGTGCCAAATTTTTGCATTTCTGCTAAAGCCTGTTCTTTTACAAAAAAAAAAATCAAATTACTTATGAAAATCGATGGATTAATAAGAAATAATGAGTGGTCAAATAAAATTACGTAAAGATAACTTGTATGTAAACAGAACTTCGTCTGCCTCGGAAGACTCGGACCACAATAGCCCAACTGCGCTCTAGTTACTGCAGCAGGCTGAACTCATACCTGAGCAGATTAAACGAAAATGCTCTCAACATATGCCCGGCATGCTTCCTGGGGCTACCGCTAGTAGAGCTTGACGACAACGATTGAGGGACTAACCGATCTGGGCGGAGTTGTTGTAACCGCTACAACAACAATAACAACACGGTACCCTGGCGCTACCTAGCTAGATCATTTTTCGAAAAAATGTTTCTGCTTAAATAACCAGTTTATATTACAAAAATAAGCCAAATTGGCCCATAAATATATTAGATATGTATGTATATTTTTTTTTTGTGGTAGACTTTCCAGTGGAAACATCCATATGCATGTACATACATATGCTATATCGAAATAATAAAATTTTTTAAGCAATGCGTGCTTTGAAAATAATTTGAATTTTAAGAAACAAATAGCGGTACTACTATTTTTGCGTTCGCAACTGTTCATACAATATACATATCGTCGTTTAAAGTAAAAAACCGTGTATCAACAAAATGCAAAACCGCGTATCAAGATAATACAAAACAGCGTATGTGAGGTTGCATAAATTATCTTCTAGAGATTAAAAACACTCATATTTCAAAATGGTTCTTTTTTTTGTAAAGCAATCGAAATTGTATATTTCAGGACAAATGGATAAGGCTTGAGCCAAGAGCTTGTGTGAGCAAATACAATTTTGGCAAAAAATGTCATTTACGCGGTTTTGCAAAACGACAATACGCGATAATTAACCACCATATTCTAACTTCTATATTTGATGTCTGATTTCTATAAATGATATCCGTTGTAGAGGTATTAAAAAGCCTACATAATTCCTGTAAAATCGTTTGGAACAAGTTTATTGTTTTGCCCATATATCGCGATACGGGCTAATGTACATACATACCCAGCAAAAAATGGTGTAAGCAGTTGTAAGATATAAGCAATACGCTAGCGGCGCTGCTTGCAGCGTTTTTTTATATGATCTATAAGCCTTATAATAAAGTTACTATACTCCATGTGATGCCTTATTATAAGGGATTATGTAAGCCTTATTTTATTTGACCTATAAGACTTAGGCATAAGGGTGTCTCTCAGAGAGAGAGAGCGAACCTTATGAACTGACGACGTCAACACAGTGAAATGTGGTGTTGATTAAAACTAAACATTTGAAAGCATATTTACATGTATGGCTGTAGCTGAGTGTGCAAAGATGCTTCATACCATTGGTTGCTACCAAGGCTGTCCGGATTCCATCCCCATCAGACGGAACATGAAATTTAAGATTTTATTTTATTAGATATTCTTAATTATGAAAGGGCCTTCGTGAAGTGTAACGTGAAGCAAACGTTTATTTTATTTGATCTAGAAGCCTTATTATAAGGAAATTATATTCCATGTAAGGCCTTATTTTAAGGGCTTATGCAAACCTTATTTTATATGGCCTATAAGACTTACATATGCATAAGTGCGTCTCTCAGAGAAAGAGAGAAAAAGTTTCATACAACTGACTTTCCTGACAGATTTCAGACATTAAAATATAAAGCTTATGATCGTATAAATTAAGCTTTATATAAGGCGCAAATTTTTTGGAGGGTATGTGTAAATACATACATATACATATACTTTGCGGCCGCTGTGCTGTAGTGGTTAGCAGTGCGCGCTGCAATTCCGTAGGTCTAGGTTCAAGTCCAGGTTCCGACCAATATAAAAAAAGAAGATTTTCCTAGTAGCGGTCGCCCCTCGGCAGGCAATGGCAAACCTCCGAATGTATTTCTACCATGAAAAACAGCTTCTCATAAAAATACAATCATCGTTCGGAGTCGTAGAGTCCTTCCCTTCGTGTGACAACATGAAAGCGCACCCCACAAATCGGGGAAGCTCGGCTAAACCCTTACATATTGTGTAAGCGCCACTCTATTATCATAAAATATCGTTGCCTTAATTCACAAAGGCACTAACGAACGCTTTTTTCGAAACTGTGTGTTTCTCAGATTTTGGTAAAAATTTTGAAGTGTCAGAAATTTGCTGGTAGGGCCTTTGTGAATTAAGGTAACGATATGTACATATGAGGCAAGCATTAGGAGAGCA